CAATAGTGTGGTGAAGGCCTGGGGCAGGGAGTGGGTGCAGGGTGGCAGGGGTCAATGGGGAAAAAGGGAACATCCGTAACACTTCCAGCAATGAAGATAAATTAAAAAACAAAACAAAAAACCTCTTAAAAAAAATAAACTAATGCTTTCATAGCAAATGATCATATTTATGAGGAAAACTATTATATGACAGTTAATAATGGTTAATACTTATTAAAATGAAGAGAAACACATTCTCAGATTAACTAAAATATAACATTTCAGTTGTTCATGACTTACCTACCTGAGGTATTGTGGTAATTTTCTAGGTCTGAAGTTATTTAAAGGATAGCAACAAATAAAATTTGTGATGTAATGACGTCCGTTATAACTGAAACCAGCAAGGCAAGTCTTTGATCCACCAGATTCCAAACCGTTTAAACAGTGAAAATTGCCCAAGTAAACAGGAAATCTTTTCATTTGAACACTCTGATCTATATAGAACTTCATTGCCTTACTCATAAAATTAATGTAATAAGACTAAGTCAATCAAAAGTTAAACTGATTAACTGTAAATTTGGTTAAAGATTTCTGTATTTGCTATGCTACAGATTAATTAGTTCACATGTACATAGTCATGTGGGTATACTATCTGTCCATTGTGTAAGGTACTTGGTCTTGATTATGAAAAATATATGTTTACAGCAGATATTGGTACATTCAGAAAGCAATATGATTTTTTAAATAATATTTATTTCTAAATTAATATATAGTTTCAAATTAATACATTCTTCTTGAAGTAAATTAAAATACTAAGAACATTAAAATGTTCCAATTTGACCACGTTTCCACCAAACCCAGTGTCTTTCCAAATGTAACCACATTGTCAAAATAATGAGCATCCTTTTTATTCTGTGCATTTTTATAATATACTTGTAACTTGGAAATATGCATAATATTGCTTTTTTGTTTTATTTTAGCAAAAATAGTATTATACTCTACATATTAATTCTCTCTTTGTTTAAAACTATGTTGAAAATCTTTCTATGTCTGTCTTTAACAGTAATTCATTATTTTTATTGCTAAGTAATATTTTTGGTATGGATTATACCATTGTGGTTTTGATTTGCATTTCTTTGATGATTAATGATGTAGAGCGTCTTTCATGTACCTGTTGGCCATCTGTATGTGTTTTTGGAAAAATGTCTGTTCAGATCTTTTGCCCTTTATTTTTAAAAAATATGTTTTTGTTGATTTCAGAGAGAGGAAGGGAGAGAGGGAGAGAGAGAGAGAGAGAGAGAAACATCAATGATGAGAAAGTCATTGATCGGCTGCCTCCTGCACGCTGCCCACTGGGGATTGAGCCTGCAACCCGGGCATGTGCCCTGACTGGGAATCGAACCACGACCTCCTATAGGTTGATGCTCAAACGCTGAGCCACGCTGGCCAGGCTCTTTTGCCCATTTTTAAATCAGATTTTTTTGTTGTTTTGCTACTGAGTTGTCTGAGCTTTTTTGTGTATTAACTCTTTATTAGATATACAATTTGTAAATATTTTCTCCATTCGATAGGTTGTCGATTTTTGTTGAGGGTTTCTTTTATGTACAGAAGCTTTTTAGTTTGATATAGTCCCACTGTTTACTTTGGCTTCTGTTGCTTTTGCTTTTGGTGTCAGATTTAAAAAAATTATTGCCAAGACTATGTCAAGGAGTTTACTACCTATGTTTCTTCTAGGAGTTTTATGATTTCAGGTCCTACGTTTATGTCTTTAATCTTGTTTGGAGTAATTTTTGTGTATGGTGTAAAATTGTAGTCCAGTTTCATTCTTTTCCATGTGGCTGTTCAATTTTCCCAAAACCATTTATTGAAAAGACTGTCCTTTCCTCATTATATATTTTTGCTTCTTTGTTGTAAATTAATTGGCCATATATGAGTGGATGTATTTCTGGGCCCTCTATTCTGTTCCATTGATCTATATGCCTGTTTTTATGTCAGTACCATATTGTTTTTAATGACATTTAAATAACATTCTGGAAAAGGCAAAACTATAGTGGTTGCCAGGGTTTGAGGGGGAGGAGAGGGACTGACTACAAAAAGATAGCATGAGGAAATTTTTGAGGATGATCCAACTGTTCTGTGTCTTGTTTGTGGCAGTGGTTACAAGAGTACGGATTTGTGAATTTCGGTAAATATAAATTTAAAAATAAATTTAAAGTATTAATAGGAAAAAAATTCATGAGTGCTGGCAGGGAGAGATAATGGGAGTTAAAAGAAATAGTAAGGGAGGATTCTAATTTATTATTTATATTGAATGATCAGGGAAGGCTTTGAGGAAGTAACTCTAAGTGAACTGTGAACAATGGTGAAGAGTTGGCCAGGAGAGAGATGGGAGAAAGAGGATTTCAGGCAGAGGCAATAACTTTTAGAAGTACTTGCCTTGGTAAGACATGGCAGTAGACTGGTTCTCAAAAGCTAAGAGGAAACCAATGTGATTGTAGGCCGGAGCACTGCTGTAAGAGTGATGAGAGAGGGGCAAGCCCTTCATGGCCTTATGGGCCATCCATTTAAGGATTTCGGCTTCTATCCAAGAACAACAAAGTTTTTACTAGTGATTAGGGCTAGCATGATTATATTTATAATTGTACTTTAAAAATGGGGCTGCAGGTTGAGAAAACTGGAAAGGAGGGAGAGTAGAAGTTGAAATATCTGCATAAAAGAAAAAATGGTCTGGGACACAATCCTTTTACATGCTGTAATTTACACCCCCCTTCTGGAAAAAATTAGCATTTCTAATAATTCCTTATGCCAGTTTCTAATGAATTTTGATGGAATAAAAACTTGTTCTGGGTAACTAGTGATACATACAGTTAACTATCAGCTGGCTGCCAGTCAAGAATCTAGTGACCTTTAATCAGACTGTTCTTTCTGTATATAGTCCATTCCCATTTTCTAGAAAATTTTTCTACCAGGAAGAAACACTTTAATTGACCTACAAAGAGCATTTTTTTTTTTTCTTGCATGCATACAAGATTGCAATAAGATGTTGACATATATTAATTTTTTAAAAAATTTGAAAAAGTTTCTGGAAACAAGGTTAGTGTCCAACAATTAATTGCCTTCCTGAATATCATCAATAAACCCTAAACATAAACTCTAAAAGATGCTACTTATAATAGCAATAAAAAGAATGAATTTTCAAATAAATATAACAAGTGATATGCAAGATCATTATGGTGGCTCCAGGTACTACTCTTAGCTTACGGCTGCACAGCTCTGATTTCTGCCTCCACCTTTGCATGGCCTTCTCTGTGTTCTCTACTGTCTCTTATGGCATTTACATTAGACATAAGGCTCACTTGGATTATCCAGGGTGATAGCATCTTGAGATCCTTAGATACGTCAAAGACTCTTTTTTTCAAATAAGGTCACACTCACAGGTTCCAGGAGTTAGAACATGGGCATACCTTTGTGTGTGGGGTGGGCACCATTTAACCCAGTACCTACAGTTAAGAACCAAATAAATGGAGGAACGCATTATGTTCAGATTAACGAAGACAAATATTTAAATGATGCCAATCCTTACCAAATTGATTCAATGTGTATCAATTATATCCCCAGAGAGTTTTTCAATAGAACCTGATGAATTGGTTCTAAAAGGGACAAATAGGCAGAATATTCTTTAGAAAGAATTGAGTTAGGAGATGTGATCAACTACATATTCAAGGTTTATATAAAAACCATGCTAAGTAAGACCATGTGGCACTGGCACAAAGATAAGCACACTGACCAATGAAACAGAAATTAACCTGTACATATATTGAAACTTGACATATGAAAATTGTGCCATTGCAGGTCAGCGGGAAAAGAACGACTTTTAAGGAAATGTTTGTGAAGCAATAGGCTATCCACATTGAAAAGACCGAAATCAGGTCTCTACCTCACATGATATTCAAACATCAGTTCCAGATGTATTA